TTTTTTTCAAGCATTGATATGGCATTGGCTTTTATAGGACATGAAAATCAGAGCTAAGATATGCATAGATGAGCTCAACCAAAGGACAACAAAGTATCAAGTAAATTATCTAAATCACCTTTTCCCAAAAAGTAGAGGATTTTCCAAAAAAAAAAAAAATAGCTGGGATTACAACAACAGGGGACTGGAAAGGTTCAAATCCCAACACCAGCTGCTGAAATTTTCACATCATACTTTCACATCATATTCACATCATATTTTCATATCATGTACTTCAGCTTCAGATCAGTTGGCATTTTCTCCTAACTATTTTTCTCATGAAGCTCTTCCCATAATCTTCCTCCTTTGACATCTACAACCTCCTAATTTGTACCCTAAATTTCTTAATGCTCAGGTTTTTCTTTTGTTTATTTGTTTGTTTGTTTGTTATTTTCTTAAAGTCAGTATATTTCAGGCTAAGTAAGGCTGTTGTAATCTCCTAGTAATTTCCTCATTGATGATCCATAGAGAAATTCTTATCTTCCCAACATTTATTCTGTTAACTACATAAGCAAAGCTCTTGTCTTCCCATAAAACAGGCTTTCTCCAATCTGATTATCCTAATATTATTATTACTTTGCACCTGTTCCAGTTCCAATTTCTTTCATGAAAATGGATGACTATATTTCATAAAAGAACTACCAGAGTGTCAACACTACCCTAGTTGTACTGGGAAGACACTCAGAGTAGGTCACAATTTGCCTTTTGGAAGCTACATCACAGTATCCAAGCACAATCTGTGACCAATTAGCACACTCTGACACTGCTCCTCCATATCACCTCTATTTGATTAGTCTTCCAGTGGTAGCAAAAAAATCTTGTTAGATCTGCAAGTCCATAACCTTGCATATTATTAAAGCGAACCTCATTCTTTTTCCATTTCTCTAATGCCCAGGGTCATCTAGTTCTCTTTAAGTATTTTCTGCAAGTTTTAACATCATTTTAAACAGTTTTTATTCTTGCTCTATCCTCTTCCTCATATTCTTGCTATTCTTTGCTGATTAGTAATATTTTTATTCCTTTTTTCTTTCTTTTCTTCTCCTTGTAGACTTTGGTTTCTAAAATCATTTCTGAAATAACTATCCATTTAGGTCTGGTATTATTTCTGAAAGTATTTTATTTTGCTTTGATATAAATTCGAGATAGTTTTAGAAGATTCAATTTAAAGAAATTCTACATTTCCTCTCCACGCAAATTCTTGAGCAATTCACACTGGCATTAGTTTCTTTAGCTCACTGAGCTGATTCTTCAAGTGAAACGTTTTACTTGAAGACATATTTTTGTTTATCTTTCCATTTAATCTAAATGAAATCACTTAATCAAAACTCCCAGTTGAAAGTTACATGACTGTCTTATTTCTAAAGTGCCTATTACTTACCCACACTAAATAGCATAAGCTGTCTCTTCAGAGGGCATACAGACATATTTTTAAATGTCTCCTTAATCCAAACACTTCAGGTGGTCCCTCAAGATCTCTGAACTTTCCATTCCCATGTAGGTGAGGGCATGTTCTGTTCCATCCCTCCATCCTCATACATCATAAATTCTTTGAAGCTGTGCCATTACAGAGCAAAAGACAAAAGTATTCTTGTTTTTATCAGGTAACTAGTATGCTCTTGTGGGTTGTAAGAAATCTGGCAATGAACAAATGCAGGTGGTGGAAAGAAACGACCTTCGGTCTATTTTCTACATGAGTGACTTATAGGGAGTAGTTTCTAACAGACGGTAAACAGAACACAAACTAATAAAATCCACTGACCTCACTAGTTTGCAGCGTATGTCTTCTTCATAAGCATTTTCCATTCCATAGTTCAAGGTACCTTGTTGGTCAGCAGGATTCTGAAGGGGATCTCTGCATCTCGCAGAGTTCTGAATTCCATTCTAGGGAACAAAAAAACTACAAGTTAAGATAAAAGGTATTATGAATTACTTATTAGATCTAGTCCTGAATGACTAAAACAATTAAAAAAAAAAGTTACCCAAACTCTAAACATATCCTCTGAGCACACACAGCAAGATTAGACTGATCTGTTCTTTGAAGAGAAACAAAATGAAAAAAAATGATGTGTTAAATGATGATTTTCTGTATAAGGTTTAGATTTCTTACAGGAATATAACTAGTTTAACAAATCAGATTTGGAACCTTAACTGCAAAGGTAAATTCATTAGCTTCCAGGGAAAGGGGAAAAACAACATTTTCTTAGAATTTATTTGTTACAGAAAAAGTAATTTAATGGTAAGTTGAGATGCCCATCAGAAGTTTGTTTTTCAAAAGATAATAAAATGCAAGAAGATGACGATATCCATACTGTGACATGTTATGCTTACGAGTACTGTAATACCCAGTGACACTAAAGTTTTTTCAACAACGAATCCTTGCGGTGAAGGGCTTCTATCAACACAGTGCTATTCAAGTATTGAAATTGCTCAGAAAAAAAGGTAAATGCAACAATAAGCATCTTCCTGTACATTTCAAGCATGACCCAGCAGGTCTGTTGGACCACAATAATTTTTTCAGTCATTTCTCTTTACAGCTCCCCTGAGCCATTATCTAAGATATGGTGGCCCAGTACAGAAGACTAAATCATAAATATCCAAGTCTTAGAGACAACCCCAGCTGATTGGGACAGTCTAACAGATGAAAGGATCAAGGATTAAAGAACAACTTCATGTCTGTAGTATTCATTATTAAACAATTATTCCATTATTAAACAACTGGAGAAAAATAATTCCTTCTCCTGCAGACATATTTTAATAAAGAAGCTAATCTCCAGGAGCAAAAGACAGGTCATTCAGGTTCCTAAATAGCTAAGACTTTTTTCTATATGCATCATCATTGCTGGCAAGGAAGAATGTTGTGACTACTGGCAAATATCATTATTTGTTAGAAACCAGTGGACTGGCCTGGGCCACACACACTGTATGTACTATATGTGCACGCACAAAATCACTAGACCACCACAGTGTTCAATAATTTACTGCATCGAGTCCTCACCCCAGCTCTCTGCTACCCCATCGTTGCCTCAAAGGCCATCCCTGCTTTGTGCCTTACCCTCTGGAAGTTTGGCACTGCGGCTCAGGCTGCCCAGCTCGGATCAAAGGGCCACTCCAGCAAAGAGCACTCCATACATATCCTGCTTGGGAATTAACGAAGAGGTATTAACGATCACGGATCCCAACGCCGCAGTGCAAGCAACAGCCGTCAGCCTCTTCAGCGGCCGCTTCACCCTCCCTAGGCTCGGGTACAGGCACACAAACTCTCCCTGAAAACAGCAACTCAACGGCACATTCCTCTTGCTCAACAAAATGAGGTACGCTGCACAAAACCCTCAAGATATATTCATAAAACTCACAAAAGCCACAACAAGCAAGGGCTTCTTCTTCCTCATTCCCTTGGCAGTTTCCGTGACACACTTCCTACTGTGCCTGTCATTTATTTCCCCCAGCACCCTCGCTGCTGCTTCTCCTTAGGCAGGGGATGCCATTAACTCCCAGCAGGGCAATTCTACGTCTTCCTAGAGAGGAATAAAATGGGTAAAACTAAATAAAAAAAAAAAAAAAAAAAAAAAAAAAAAAAAAGAGGAAAAAGAGCTCACTGCTCAAATCTTTCCAATATCCTTACATCTCACAAGGTCATGCCCTAATTAGCAGCTAATCACACTGATCTTTTATTTACTCTTTTTCCTACTGACTTCCCTATTTTGCTTGTTTCTGTATGCAATAAAGGCTGCTATGAAATGCTCTAGAACCTGCGACTATTTGCCACCGATGCTCTCAGTTTAGGACTGAACATGCTGTATCTTATCAAAAATTTCCTCCAAAACAACCGTCTCTCTGCTCTATGTAAGATCACTGTTCAGGTATGGCAGAGAGGAGCTAAGGTTAACAGCTGAGGGCATCAGACCTGCAAGCATCGCTACGCAAATCTGCTTTACAGGGCGAGCGACAGGGGTAATTTAGAGCACAGACACCATCAGGTAGAGTCCAAGGGCTGCCATGGTCCTCTTCTCAAAAGTACAAATGTGAATGGTAAGACAGAAGAGTCATCTGCCTCAGCATCAACTATGTTTTTTTAAAAGCTGGGGAAAACTCTACAGCTAAACTTGTAGTGCTTAAGCACAAAGCTGAACAATCTTTAATTTCAATGATTACTGAGCAGTAGCTATCAGAAACCCTAACTTTCTGACGCCGTGCTGCTCCCCTGTCCCTACGCTGGAACACAGCCCGCCACGCAGCGCAGGGCCGCGCTGCCCACGCCAGGGTCGCTCCAGCTCCCACACGCGCGGGCTGCCACCCCTGGCGCGGGGCTCCCGGGCTCCCCCCGCCCCGCATCATGGTACCGCCTGGCACGAGCGCGACCCGCGCCAGGGCGGCGCCATTTCGCCCTCCCCCCGGGGGGGGGGGGGGGCGGATCGCGCTGTTTACTCCCCCCGCGCCCGTTTATCCCCAGGGGGCGCGCGGGGGAGCGTTGCCGGCGGCGCGGGGCGGGCGGGCCGCGCCGGGCGGAGCGCAGCGCTTTCCGCTGCCGTTTGTCTCACGTCTCTTGCCGTTCGCTGGAGCAGCGGCGGCAGCAGCAGCTGCTGCGCACTCCCCTCCCTCCCCCCGCCCGCGCCGCCGCCTCCTCCTCCTCCTCCTCCTCCTCCTCGCAGCCTCGTCCGGGCGGCCGGGCAGCGGCGCGGGCCCCTTGCGGCGCGGTAAGCGGCGAGGCGCGGGCACCTGCGGCGGGGCCAGGGGCGAGGCGAGGCCTCCGCCGAGCGC